TAATAAAAATATTCCTTAAATAAAATATATGAAGATACTTAACAAAAATTTGGTCAAAAACTTATATTTGTTAAATTCAAATTAAATACTTTAATAAAATAATTTGGACCAAAATAAACTAATTTCCATCTTTAATTTTCTTCGTTTAAAGTTATAAAACTTCAAATTATATATATATATATATATATATATATATATATATATATATATATATATATATTAATTTTCTTTGAAAACCAAATTAATTAGAAAATAATCAATTTAATTAGAAACTAATCAATTTACCTTTACTCAATTAATCATCAATTAAATTAGTCTCTATCTTAAAAATTATTAATACTTCAATATAATAGAAAATCCTTTAGATTAGAAGATCAATTGGTTAATTTAATTAAAACTTTAATTTAGCCAATTGGAAGCTAAATTATGGATTGCACCTTTTGAAAACTATTTTAAGCATTAATTCCAATTAATTGAACCATGTCAATTAAATTTAATCAATTAAATTCAATTTATTCCATAACCATTAAATTCAATTATTCCTTATCAATTAAATTCATTTTTTCATTCCAACTAAATTCTAGCCATTCAATTATTAATTCCAATTAGATTCAATTTAATTCCTTATTTAATCTATTAATTTACTTAGGCCAATTTATATTAGACTAACCATTTATTTATGCCTTATGACTTCAAATTAATTATTATTGAACACACACAAATTGTATAATATTTAGAGTGAGTTAAGAATACCATTTTTTACAAGCCATAAGTGTAAACCTAGCACACATATTCAAGTTCAAAACATGTCATAAAAGGAAAGGAAAAGTCTTCTCACTTACTCTTAATTATTAAGTACATCCATCGACGAGTCGGACACTCCTTGGCAACAACCGAATTACTCCATCACTTAGTGCTTTTCTCACCCACATCATAAGAAAATAAAGCTAAGAAATGCTTAGTAAATGTAGTCCATGCATGTAATGTACATGATGCATTAAAAATCCTTTTTCATGTCTTTTTGAAATTCATTTTCCTTTTCGAGCACACCTTACCAATTTTGTATATAATCGATCCTCTTTTAAAACATGCATTTGTGAAAACTCACAAAAGCATTAGGTACCTTCCCTTTTTCTTTTTTCCTTTGCTATTTCTATTTCCTTTTCCTCATAAGAGGGTGATCATTCCTCTAGTAATTTGAAGGTACATAGCCATTTTCTTTCAAAACATGTCCTTTTCCTTTTCCTTTTCCTTTTTCTTAAAATCATGAAAGAAAATCCTTTTTCATGATTATGACGTGAATATGCATTCAAATGAAATGCTTAACCTTAACATTTTTCATTCACATGCATGCTTAATAAATTAATTGTACATGTAAAAATAACCTTTTAAACATAAACATGTACTAACTAAATCAAAGCATGTATGAATTTAACAAATCAATCAAACAAACATCATTAATCATAAAATCAAGTATTTGGTCGGATTACATAAAGGAATTCCATTCCATATAACCAAGCACAATTCAAACACAATCCATAAATAATCATACTTAAACACATAGCCACCAATCCATTAAAAATTCATGGAATTAGGTAATTGCCCTTATATATCAATCTTGGCCGAATTAATCATATTACCAATCAAGAAGAATTCACCAATCAAGAAGAATTTTTCCATTTAATCACTTATTTCCATGTTTATTCATTCCTTTAATTCATAAATCAACATTAAACATCAATTAATCCCATCATTTATAACTTACGGTTTTTGGCCAAATATGCTAAAAAGGTAACCAACCTAAAAACTCATCAATTTAACACATTCAAACATATTTAAACACAATCAATTCAACATATAAACACTTCATTAACCCAATTAATCTAGATTAAAGGGTTATGGCTGAAATTTTCATTAAGGGTAATCAACATCAATTTTTCAATCCAACAATTTGAAACATACTTAACCCACTTAATTAACACAAAATCATAAAAACTAACAATTTTCCCTAAAATCTAGTGAACCTTTCACAATGAATTCATCAACTTTAATTCATAAACTTAACCTTAATTAAACCTTCAAACATAATGAATCATCCATCAAAAGCATGATTTCAACAATAACTCAACAAATTAAACAACTTCACCAAAACTCAAATAATTGAACCTTAAATTCATAACTTCTACAACTTCAACAATCAAGCATCAAAATAATTTCTTATGGTGAAGTGAGGACAACACTTACGTCACTTGATGATTTACAAGTCTCTACCTTGATGGCTTGAAACCTCTTTCTCCTTTTCTTCCTTTAAGTTTCGGTCCAAATTTTAATTTTTTTCTCCTTCTTTATTTGATTTCTTCAAGTGTTTTTAGGATGGTTTTGGGATATATCTAAGGTATTTTAGGTGTTTTTAGGTGATAATTTGTCTTGGTTTGCCTTGAAATTACCTTGAATTCAAGTTGTTTTAGCTTGAGTTTTCATTTTTCCATCACCTTTCTTCTTCCTCTTTTACCAAATTTATAGAAAAGAATTTTCTTGTGTTTCGCCAAGTGTGAGACACTTGGTTTCATCTCTCAATCCCTTCATTAATTGTTTTCTCAAGAATTCTCTCAATTTCTCTTCATTTTCTCCCTTGATTTCTTTTCCTTGGATATTTTCTCTTCTTTTTCCTCGTATGGATGAATTATTTGGCCTCTCTTATTTCATTTCTTTTGCTAAAATTCTAGTTTGGATTCACCATTCCAACTAAATTATTTAATCCCTTAAATTTAAAAAAATTTACATTTTGGTACTTAATCTTTTTAATTAGTTCAATCAAATCCTTACATTTTAGTCCTTAAACTTTCAATTTCTACTACCAAACCCTTAATCTAGACTTTCTTAAGTTTCATGGTGGTCATTTAAATTTTTTAATCATTTTGATCAAGTATCCAAATTTTTAATTATTGCAATTACATCCTTAAGGTTTTACAATTACACTCCTAGGTTAATATAAAATCATAACAATTAATATCATAAACTTACTAATTCAAGCATTAAATAATTCATTCACTTTTTATGATACTTATGCATGCATTAATTTATTTCCTAAGCAAGTATAAAATATTAATTTACCTCTTAAGTACATATTCATATATTTATTAATAAAATTATTCATACAAATATATATATATATATATACACACGAGGTTTTAGGTCAAGGATATTACATTCTCCCATTGTTAAAAAAATTACATCACAACTTTCATGATAAATGATAATCCTTTGTATTTAAAGAAATGATTTAATCACATCAAACATTCCTCTACTTTTCCGATTTTCTTAATGTGGTCCTTTTATTTATTTTTTTCTTATTCAACCCCTTCTTATACTCTTCAATTTTTCTAAAGCGTCCCTCTAACTGTTTTGTAGCCAATTTTTTAATCAAAATTGTCATTTACCATTAAAAAATCCATGTAGTGTGCCACATCAAACTAATTTACCACATGGAAAAAATTTTAAAAAATAAAGAAAAATAAAAAATAACTAAAAATAGAAAATTAAAAAGAAAAAGAAGTAGAAAACTAAATTTCTTCATATGTCAGATTAATTTTAATTTCTCCCTTGAAATGTTTTCAATTAGCGTTGATCACATTGAAAAAAAGGCTTCATGAACATAACTATGAAGAGTTCAACAAATGTTCTAGTACACTGATGCCCAAAAGTTCCACCACATAGCCTTTTCCCAGTAACAACCACAGAAGACATCATCATACTTGTGAGCTTGTGCATAATCTCGGATGATGGAATTCCATAAAAGAACACTTCATCGAGGAGTTTTATCAAATAGGTTATGAGCAAAGAAAAAGTTATTGTTGATATTTTAGACTTTCACAAGTTTTGACCTAGATATTGGCAAAACAACAATCAATCAAGCAAAAAATCTTCAAAATCACCAAAATTTCAATTCATTATCAACATTCATGTATATAATTACGAGAAACTGCACTCTTTAATAACAGATTACAATTAAGAAAGAAGATCGACCATGTTTGGGCGCACTCTACATATGGCCTCCAATGGCTCGTCTCTATATATAAGAGTGTGCATCTTTTTAGTCATGTCGATTTCCTTTCCATCAACCTTTTCCCACATGAAGCATTGAATTAACGAACCTAATCTCGTGGCCACTACTCTCCTTGCTAATCCTTTCCCTCGATAAGGTCTCCTTCCCATTCCAAATGGCATATGAGTGTAAGCTTCAAATTTCCAATTTTCAAACCTCTCAGGCTTAAAACTTATTGGGTCATCCCCCAAAGCACGATCTCTCTGACTAGCCAATACAATTGTAAATAAAATGGTATTAGCAAGCACATCATATCCTACAATGCTGCAACCTGCAAATGACATAAATGGTGCTATGAGTGGAACAATTGGATATAATCACAAGTTCTTAAGGATGATACTTTAAAGATAGTTTAGTTTTGAAGCATCTGATTCATCTACTAAGCAATTTTGACCAATTTAAGTGTCAAATTCTTCTCCTACTTTCTTTACCACTTCTAGATGCTTCAGCAGATTGCAAACTACCCATTCTAAAGATGTAGTAACAATTCTTGTCCCAACAAACAAAATCAAAACCTAAATTTCAAAAACCCAGACCCAATCGATAGAATTAAATTCAATTTTTCAATCCAAAGGCATGTATTTAGTACAATTTATTAATAATTAAAGAAAAAAATTACAATTCAAAGATAGGGGAAAAGTAGCATCTAAGTTTATGTCCTTGAAGGTTTTAAGGCGATTGAGAGTGCTAACAACAACGTCGTTTGGAAGAACATTTTTCTTAGTGAAATCCGTAACAGTAGCCATGATCGAAAAGTTTCAGGGAGGAGAGAAATGGATTTTGGAGAGTGATGATGATAAAAGAGAAGCGGTGATTTTGATTTTGATTTTAAGAGGAGTTGTGATGTTGATGAGAACACTTGTAAAAGTTTGTAATAAAACCAAAATCAAGAAAGATGATGATTGGGGAGTTGAGTCAGTAACAAACAAGGAATTTTTATTTTTCATGGTGCATTCTGTTTGAGTAAAAAAAATAAGGAATCATATGGATTTTTTTTTAGGCATTTAGCAAATTAGTCTAACGTGGCATGTCAAGGGAATTTTTAATGCTAAATGTCGATGTTGATTAAAAAAAAAAAAATTAGTCAAAAAATAGTTAGAGAGGTTATATTAAGAAAAATTGAAAAGTATAAGGAGGGATTGAATAAAAAAATATAAAGGCCACGCTAAGAAAATAAATTAAAAAAGTAAGGGACGATTTGATGCAATTGAACCTTCAAGAAATTGTAGAAGGTAGCCTCGTGTGGAAGTAAATAACGGAGGGAGTATATACTTTCTTTGTCATTATCGTCATCAACAGGGAGTAGATTGTTGATGCTACACTATAGAAGACTTTCTATCTGGTCAGAAACTCAAAATATGTGTGTAGTAAACAGTAGAACGTTGCAGATTCAACACCCAGATATCTCTCAATTTCATTACCAAAACATTTCCTACATTCGCAAATGTTGTAATAATTACCTTTCAGTTTTGCCCCCAAGTCGATCCTTAAAATCTTCTTCAGGTCTCTAATTCTTTCGTGGCTTCTTTTTTCGAATCATACTAGTTGGTAGTTTCTTTTGTTGTTTGTAATAATTTTGCTATTTGTTCAGAGTTGGGATCTTTGCGTTTTTCAATTCCATCAAACCCAAATTTTCAATGTAAGTTTCTCTTCGCTTTCGCTCTGTATTTTTGCTTATTTTTTATTTATTTTCTTTTTGAGCTGATGTATGTATTTTTTTATATTTGGCAGGTGGGAGTACAAGATTCTTAGGGAGCAGATGTGCATCCCAGAAGTTCTCGGATCCTTTGGAACCTGATCCTGCTCAGAACTATGCGACCGACTCAAATCAGGTGCTTCTTTAATTACGTTTCTGCAGTTATTGTTTATTATTTGTATTTTAGTGGAAATTTATTGGGAGGTTACTTGCATTGAATATCCTTAAGTTTCCAAACTGTCTAACATTGGCAAAACAAGAATGCTATGAGTTCTATTAAAGTTTGAATCTTTCATCATTGGGTTTTTGGGTTAAGAATTCTTTGCAGCAATCTTTGACGAGACTAACGTATTGGATCGGGTCTGTATGGTGCTTTGGTTAAACTTGTATTCACTCATGGATAGCAAATTAGCTAATAGGTGACTGAGCATGCATGCAAACTTACTCACTAATAAAAGAAAGGCTGCAGAGCTTAATGAAATTATTCTAAGGACTCATTTGACAATAGTTGTTATATGTCTTATTTCAGATGGTAGAGAAGAAGGCTGCTTCTATAGTGGATATCTTGAAACAATCAAATTCCCTTCTGCCTCATATTGTCCTTGCTAGTACACTGTTGGCTCTTGTCTATCCACCCTCTTTCACATGGTTCACCACCAGGTTGTTGAATGTTCGAATAAATTGGTCTGTTAAAAAATTTCTGTAATTATTTCAGAATAGTGGTGGATTGATGGTTTAAATTTTGACCACCAGTTAGGAGAGCTGAACCAGCTAATGATTAAGAAGGTTTATGTATTAAAAAAAAATCAGAATGCAACAGAACCAAGTAAACTTTCGCATAGATTGTATGCTCATGCTTGTTCCTTTTGGTCTAATTCCAGGTATTATGCTCCTGCACTAGGGTTTTTGATGTTTGCGGTTGGGGTTAATTCCAGTGAAAAGGATTTTCTTGAAGCATTCAACAGACCGTCAGCTATACTGGCTGGGTATGTTGGTCAGTTTGTTGTGAAGCCAATTCTTGGATATCTGTTCGGCATAATTTCGGTATCAGTATTTGGGCTTCCTACTCCAATAGGTGAGGTTGTATTTACCTTATTTCCAAAGTAGTTGAGACTGTAACAACACTTTTGTGAATCTATGCATCAGGTGCTGGGATCATGTTGGTATCGTGTGTTAGTGGGGCTCAGCTTTCAAATTATGCTACTTTCTTGACGGACCCGCCGATGGCTCCTCTAAGCATTGTCATGACATCAATGTCCACGGCTACTGCAGTTTTTGTTACACCAATGTTATCACTATTGCTCATTGGAAAAAGACTGCCTGTTGATGTGAAAGGAATGGTATCCAGCATTACACAGATTGTAGTTGCTCCAATTGCTACAGGCTTACTTATAAACAGGTGATATGGCAATCCAAACAAGTGTTTTCTTTTCAAGAATAACTTCCTTGAAATGTCCATACGTCTTATTTGTTTGTACCTACAGGTTGTTTCCACAGATTTCTAGTGCTATTTGTCCGTTTTTGCCACCATTATCAGTACTAGTAACAGCTTGTTGTGTTGGAGCACCACTTGCTATTAATGTTGACTCCGTTATGTCCCCTTTTGGAGTAACCATAGCATCTCTTATTATTGCATTTCATCTATCAGCTTTTGTTGCTGGTTACTTTTTGACTGGTTTTGTCTTCCCTAAGGCATCTGACTTAAAAGTGCTGCAAAGAACGATATCCTATGAGACAGGTACCACCATCCTTTTCAACTCTGTCAATTTGTCATGGATTACTCTTCTAGCTGACAATATTTTCCTTTGCAGGAATGCAGAGCAGTCTTCTAGCTCTTGCACTTGCTAACAGGTTTTTCAAAGATCCACTTGTTGCTATGCCTCCAGCAATCTCAGTAAATTAAACCTTCACATTTCTTTTGGTCGTATTCCGATTATTTTTAATAAAGAAATCTGATGCAAATTGTGGTTGCTACTTTTAGCAATAAACTATGAGTTCTGTTATAAGCAATATTATGTGTAGTAATCTTCAATAGGTTCTCTCTGAGGTTCGATTGCAATAAGTTCATGCCAGAGTCTGGCCACACTTTCTTTTGATCAATGGAAGCAACTGTAACGGGACATTGAACTGGGGAAATCTATCTCGTTGGTTCAGTTTTTTTCTATTTTTACCACTGATTAATCCTAACACTTACTTAGTTCTATGTATATACTTCACAAAGGAGAGTGACTTTTTTATTATATGCTTTGACACATGACAGAAGTCCCAGCCAAAAAGGCATTGCCTATTTTTCTCATTTTTTGATTGAGTGCATTGATTGGCAAATGGTTTATGTTATACTTTTTTTCTAGGTTTTCCCACACCATTATTTTCTTAACTTTTTTAGCTTTAAATTTCTTAAAAGCTAAGATGATTAGAATAACAATTGATGTTGTATCGTATTCTTTTTACATAAAAAGATCAACACATATGATTGAGGTTTGGGTTTGTTTTTTCATCATATTATCTGGCATTCATACTCAATACAGAATTCTGAGAAATATCTGCTGTTTCTGTGACTGCAGACAGTAATCATGTCTTTGATGGGATTTTCTCTTGTCATGCTTTGGGGCAAGAAGAAAGAATAGCAATTCGCTGGAAAATTGCTTTTGCAAACCACAAGTTTGTCCTACGCTGACTGTAATCATGTCTTAGGTGGGTCTTTCTCTCACCATCTTTGATCCAAGAATAAAGGATAGCAATGTGACGAAACATTGCCTCTGCAAGTCAATGAAATCCATTGTTCGAGGGTGCATATGCCTTTCGTACTTCTGAAATTGTCAAAACCCGAAAGCTCTTGATTTTTTGAAGGGGGAATCAGTTGGAGGCAACATATGGTGGTGGCAGCCCTTGATACCATGTCTAAAGAACAAAAAGCGTTCCTTTTGCTGGTGTTATAGTTATAAGAAGTCACTGAGTGGTATTCATTTTCTTCAGTAGTTCTGTTGTCAAGTTGTATTATGCAGCAGGACACACATGAAAATAGCTAATTGAAACTATGTAAGCCCTTTCAAATGACTGGTTCTGTCCATTCAAATAAGTCTCTGAAATAATATCAACCTTGGATTGCCTTCTCTTGGGTTCCATGTGAACCCAGCCGGCAAGTTATTCAAGGAACACGATTAAATGGGAAGATGGATTGCTAATATCATCACTCAACTTTAGGGTCTGTTAGATAATACTGCCCAAGTGATCCTCTTTTCCATGGTTTCGGGAGGATTCTTTGATGATTGACGTTTTTCTTTTAGCGCATAGGATGAAGGAAAGAAATCGAGAAAATGAAAATAGTAATGAAATGATCCTAACCATCCATCGTATTCATGAAATAATCTTAACTGTCCAGAGTTTTTGATAAGATCAATTGCCATTATTACTCCAGCAAGGCAGCAACAAATCAGATCAGGTGCATAACCAACTCAAAGAACGGTAAAGAATCTACCATCCACAAAAGAACACCATGGCAACCACAACAACAACCATCTCATCATTGTTCTCTACGAAAGCAATTTTCCTTCGCAAATCTAAGCAAACCCTTTTCTCTTCCGTCCGTCCTCCACCTAACCTAACACTCGGAACTTTCCAAACCCGATCCATGACCCAAAAACTAGCCGCGGGTCTTCTTGGGGCAGGTTTGGCCTTGACAGCAGTGGGACCAGCATCAGCTGCCGAGTTGCCCTTGCTCGGTCAACTCAGTGAACCGGCCAATGCACTGTCTTTGCCCACCTGGGCTATACACGTTTCCAGCGTAGTTGAGTGGTGAGTTTTCTTTTTTCATTTTCAAGAAAAATTACTCCTTGTGGTTCTGTTTCTGGGTTTTAATGTATATAATTACTTTGTGGATTTTTTTTTGGCGATCTTTTATTCTTTTGTTAATTTGTGAGTTGATTAGACTGGATTATGATTCTACGGAAACTGAATAATTTAGCTAATTACTAGAAGCATTAGCTTTATTTCGATTGATTTATACTTGTTTGCTGAGAAAGATGAGGAAAAGAAAAATAAAGTTTAGTGCTTTCTTGAAAACAATATAAAACACTGCAGTTGATTGTACTTTGTTTCGATGGTTTCGTGCCCATAATAGAGATGTTGATAGTTAACTTTCTTATCAACAGGGTTACAGCAATGGCACTGGTTTGGCAATATGGGGAGAAATCAGGTTTTGAATCTTGGAAGGGACTTGCTTGGGGTATGGTGAGTTATTGCTTTTGAGTATTGCAAATTTGATGTTGCTATTCTAGCATTTGGATGTTGTGGTGTTTTAAAATTGGTGAAGCAATGAAGGCCGTCTTGAATTATTTTGCAATATCCTTCTGGTTCATAAGATTTTAATGATTTTAGGTAGTCACTCCAAGTTGCTATAGGGGGATTTGAAGGTGCAAATTTACAGATTAGAACAAAAACATGATGCAAGTCTGTTCTCACTGCCGCAAATTGGTCCCTTGCCTGAAACCCAAAATGTCTCCTTGAGGCAACTTGAAACTGCTTTCATGATTGTTGTTTACTATGTTATATTGAGTGGAGATTTTTTCAAACGACTATAAGGCTCTTTTTTATTACAAGGGGGTGTTCAAGTGCCCCTTAAAGTCGTCTTTTTTGTTAGAACTTTTTAAATATGCTGATAGATGAATTTTTTCTTCTTTCTTCAATGACTATTCTTAATTTGTAACTTTGTTCTTTGATGTTATGGATTCTTTTTGTTTCCAAACTTCTTGCTAAATCAGTTTCTTGCCCAGTGATCTGTAATTTGTTACTTTAGTAGATCTAGTCACTTGAGATTTTTTTCGAAGTCTTGAAACAGGTAATAACATAGAAATCTTGAGCATGCTAATAAAGATTTCCTTGTCAGTTTGTTCAAGATTTTATGGTGATAAACTTTATTGTATAGGTTGTTCCTCTGGCATAACTGATATTTTGTGACCAGAACTTATAGGAGCCAATTGGGATTTTGTTTGTTGATTTTCCATTGGTTATAATTACATAAGTTGTAAGAATTTTGCTTTAAATTCACTTGGGAAATCATTGGCTTTGAGTAGCCTAACCAATGAGGGGAACAATGACAAATATGAAAGGAAATGGCCTTTGAGATGCGGCCGATATCCTCATTGTTCATTTGTATTGATTTTGTTCTAAGATTTGTAGCTTTTGTAGAGATTGCTTTATTGTTTGCTGTTGTAGCATGTCTATCATTCAAGTCAAATGTAGACACTGTTTATTTTCATATTTCTTAGTCTAACTATAGTCATCTGATTTTTAGGTTCCTTTACTTGGTGGAGCATTTTGTGCATGCACGTGGCATTTCTTCTACAATTCTGAGTCCCTTGAGGTAAGAATGGTTGCATTGCTTCATGGACAAATTCATGTCTGTTCATACAGGTGCAGATTAGAAATAAATAGATCAATTGAGATATAGGAAACAGCCTTAAATGAACTACTCAAATGGAACTTCAGATATTTTGATGCATGGCACAATAATATTGAACACAATGCTTAGCTAGAATGGATATAACTGCTGTACTTTATACATTTGCATAGCATCATTGATTTTTTTTTTTTCTTTTCTTTTACTCCGTGTCTCTCGAGGTAACAATGGTAAAATACATTTGTCTTTCTATACAGGCATAGACCGTAAATCAATAAATTAATCAAGATATAGGCAAGGATCTTGAATGAACTGATCAAATGGGCTTTAGTTAACCTATATGGGTATCCTTAAATGTAATGATCAAATGGGGCTTTAGATTAACCTATGGGTAGCAATAGCATAGATAGAAGTGGATATGACACTTAGCTTGAATAGATATCTCTTGTCCTTTATGCATGTCCATTGCAGAACGCAGCATCTTTTTTACACTTTTAGTTCACATTCACTGTTCATCATTCATCGAAAATCAAATGCCATACTGCTTCTAATGTCCCATGTATCTGTCAACATATCATTGTCCTCTTATCTGTGAAAGAGCTACTGGGATATTTCACTCTGAACAGCCCATATTATTTGTGTGGTATTGAATTGGGGTCGTGCTAACTGAGGGAACGATTAAGCTGCAGATTGAAGAGACACAAATACATGGGAATCTGGACAAACAAAACCCAAGAAAAATATATCGGAATTTTATAAATCAAGCAGAAGGCAGTTATTGTCCAAGTCATTATACTTGTAGAACTGGATCCTGGTTGTTGAACATCAAAATTTACTTGGTTCCTGATAATTACTTTTGCCCAATATCCTGGATGGAATAACCTTTTCAGTCGAAGGAACTCCTCTTGTTTTGTGATTGACTAACCTAACCTCTTGATTTTGCTTGCTGAATTTTCTTGTTGACCAACTTAGCCAAACTTACTGTAAACTGGCTCAAGTTCAATCAATGCTGGGTGAATCGGAGAATGCACTGCTTTTTGTCACCACAGATCATTACATGGTATTGAATTTGATTTTTACTGTTTTCATACTTTCAGAGCTTCTCCCTGGCCCATTCCATCATATTGCTTTTGATCATTTAAGTATTTCACATAATACAAAGCATAATTATTTACATGCATCCACCTTCTTGTATTACAATTAGCAGTTCTTTTTTCTTTCTTTTAGATAGATTCAAAATACAAAAAATAACCATTGTCTTTTTCTGAGTTGTAGGTATTAGTAGTTCTCCAAGCTGCACTGACAGTAATAGGTAATGCTACAATGTGCATTGCTGCCTTCCGTATATACATGTCATTGGAGGATCGCCCTGATAATCTCTGACAGTTTCAAAGCCTGCATGCCATTATATCTTTCCTAAAAGTAAAATCTCTATTCTTCAGTTACTGGTGAGACAGCCTTGATCATGCTTTAAGCTATCTTCTAGTTTTAAAGTCCTGATAATATACATACATACCCAAATATAGGTGAAGTTGCAAACCATTCGACAGTGTTAATTGTGGTTGTTGGCCTTTGTTGGCCTTTTTTTTAAAGGAAATTTGATGAGGCATGCATATTGGAACCCTTACAATTCATGACATAGGTGGATCCTCACAAGAGCTAAAAGTTGGACGTGTTTTTCTTTTTTGGCTTTTGGATTGGTGGGAAGGAGTTTCATAGTCAAAGCATACTCTTGAGTTGTGTTAATGATGACAGAGATCAACCATTACCTGTGGTGATTTCACCATTGTTTTACTCGGACCTTTATAGTTCATCAACTTACATTTTCCGAAGTGTCTGGATCAACAAACGGAAAATGGATCCCAACTGCAAACTTTCTATTTTCTAACGGCTATGTCCATTGAGTTATTTAGTGTGCTAAAATAGTTTTTCCCATGTTTAAATTTTTTTTTTTCTATCAACCAATCCTATGCCACCTGGAGACCTGCTTTATTATTACTAACGTCTACCAGTTTTTAAGTATATAATTGCTTTTTGACTGATGTGCTTCTGATGCATCCTTTCAGACCTTATGTGTCCCAAACTCTCAGAAAATTCAACTTGAAATTATGGCATTTTGACTTGATAGAAGATTATAAGAACGTAGAACTCATTAATGACTAATCCCCTAATGTTTGGTAAAGGAAAGACGAATAGCTTCAAAGCTTCCTTGGGGTGATAATGTGTATGCGGCAAGCCCTTCCGCCAGCTTCCACCCAGACCATCTGAACAAGCCATGTGAATCTTTAAGAGCCAGACCAACAGATATGAAGAATATATGTTGTTTTGTAGAAAAATTGTGGCTGATTTTCTTGTCAGTTTTCTTTTGATTCTTTCCTCTAGCTTGTGAAGTTCGCACTACTAGTTTGTGATTTGCGTTGACCTTTTTCTTGACTCTTGACTCATAAGCTATTCTACTAATTTATTATTTTAGGCGCACTGCATAGCACGCACTCATCTTGATATCTTTATCATAGATTAGCTTATGTCAAGCTAGGTTTCCCTTTGTTGAATGTTGATGCAAGACCAGTGAAGCACTGGCAGTGTACTCTGAGCAATCCCTTTTTTTCATTCTTTCTTTCGTAGGATGTGTTTAGTACAAGGTTGACGGTGGAGAATAATTACTTATGCAGCCATAAAATTCTCACAGAAACAAAAAACAGCCTAAGAAAAAAGCAAGCCGTGAACGCAGAGTGCTGGAGCCTGGAAACCTGAAGAGCCTCATGCGCTCATGGTTGTGTGCAAGATGTGAGTAAAGACTCGGAATGCTCCCATCTTACAATGCTTTCATGACTACGGTGAAAAAATAATAATAACAACAATGGAAAAGGTAGTATTATTTGTGTGCAGACTCCAGGGACTGGATCAGATGTTTAATTATAGTAATATACCACAGCTAGGGCTAGATGAGTTAAGGTGGGGATAGATTGTTTACATGACAAAATAGGTATTCAAGCCTCCTTTAGGCGTTGGAAGAACATTTGTCTTATCGCTCATTCAATCTATCGTTGCAGCTATTCACGGTGTGAAGCCTATCTAATTAGTTGCTGAATTTAAAGAATCTCTCCTATTTTCATTATCAGACTAAACAACTAAGCAAATACTAGAATGGTTGAAAAAAACAGAATCATTGATATTTTATTCTATAAGTTGGCATATATCTAAAACTTCCATCATTTACCATGATAATATTAACATATACTACCGGGCAAAATTCAAAACATCTCATGACTAACTTGCATAATTCAGCAAAGAAAAGAGAAAAACAAAAGGAAGACTGCTGAGAGAGGGGGATATAAAGAATTAATTATGTGTTATTTTGCTAGTGTTTGTGTAAAAGAAATAGGGTGGTGGGGAAGTGATCCAAATGAGGGAATTTCTTTTGAAATTCAGATATCAAGGCCAAGTTTTCTTGGTGAAGAAGGTTAGCTTTCTTCCTTAGCTTCTCGTTCTCTTCAACAATACTTTGGTTCTCTAAGTACAGCTTCAAGTTCTTTAGCTCCATGTCTTTCCCCTCCATTTCTTCATACCCTGACCTCCTGCTTTATAGAAAGAGAGAAAACAAGGAAGCTTAAAGAAAATTCCTCACGTTAAACATGTCATTTTTGTAAGAAGTATAGAGCGAATGAAACATCAAAACACTAATTAAGAACAATAAAGGTTGTGTTATAAGCAGATGCTGTGTTTTTGCTTTGCGTAGGCATACCTGCAGGTGAGCCCAATAACCTGAACCTTACATTTCTTTGATCTCTGCCTTCTCTTTGAAGGGCGGAAAGGAGAAGGGAACCTCTCTAATCCGTTACTGCACATTCTCTTTTAGCTCTCAGTTTAAAAAGAGGATGTATGTGTTGCTATTGAAAAGACGAAAGAATGAGCATTGAGAAAAGAGTGGGGATGTATGTTCCTATATATACGGGTGGGTTTGTGTCATGACCGTGCATGATTATCTAGGGCTTATGGTGGGCTGCGCGTGGGCACGCATTTAATAGAGAGAGAGAGAGAGAGAGAGATTTATCTTCTATAGCAATGATGTCATATGGGACCCATGATTGCAAAGGGAAGCAACCCCTTGAATCGATGATGAATGCGGAAGGTAAAAAAGAAAAACCTAAGATCATGGAAGGTTCTATATACGCTTCTCTTTGATCATCTACTGCATGCTTAGCCTCGAAGAGAAACTAAAATTAAAAATTAATCAACCAATAGAGCATGAGTACTATTCATGTTAAAATTACTAATTTGAAAAAATCAGCTTCATTAAGATTTGCTAACTATAGTTTATGTTTGAAATTTGTGATGGTCTGTCTGAGATGGCACTTCATAGTTACATGTCAGCAGGCATCCATGGATGGTTAGGTTGATTACAAGTGGTTTCTTGGCATCATCTTGTCTTTTGGGCCCATTTGAAGCCTAATGCAACGAAGAGATTGTAATAGTTCATCTCTCTCTCGTAGACTTTTGGGGCTGTGGACCATTACAGGGGGAGTTGGCATCTTCATTTAGACCCTTTCCATACTCCACTTTTATATATCTCATTATACTTGGTTTGAACACAAATATCTAAGAGTCAAATGTTACATTGAGAGCCTGAAAACTCCCCATCATCTCCTTAATACTATCATTCTCTGCGTTTGGGACAAATGATGCATAGCCAAAAAAATGAAAATAATGGGGGATATACGCTGTTTTTATCCATGGTAATATATTGTGCGCATATATGTAAGTAAATATTCTTCTTAATTACTCATAAAATTTTCTATTCTAAAAGGCTAATTAGGCATTTTCTTACATTTGCAAATTTATATTTACACACGCATGGAACGAACATTAAATACTTAATCATATAATATAATTGGTTCTTAAATAGATCATTCATATCCTTAATTATTCAAAAATATATATATATGGAGGGAGGCCCAGTGTGCTACTAGTGGCCGCTGTTTTTGTTGCATTGCCCTTTCTGCTAGTAGATAATTTTCACATAACTACCGCTGGAATTTCACATACTTATTTCTTGAAATGTATTCCAACTACTTTCATTTCTTTCTTTGACCTTCTCCACTACTTAATAATGGTTGCAATGATATTAAATTGTTAATGGGTAGATAATTAGCCTGACATGTGCAATTGCAACGATTATAGAAGAAGACCCACCGATCAATGGAACTTACCAGCACAATAATATGGTGAAAAATCAATGATAATTGCTTGCTTTGGTATAACATGCATAATTCTCATGCTATAATTGTTTTGGTTGGATAATAAATTGATTAGAGCACAAATTTTAAAAATAAAAATTATTTAAATGGTTTAAGTACCTTTATACACATTAATACATAATAAACAAAGATTGATGGTTGTCCAAATCGGGGCACGCACGCAATAGGAAGAGGACTTGGCTTCTTATCTTCGTTGATAAATCATCTAATGATATTATGCATATCAAGTGATTTTTAGGAGGAGTGCCACTTGGCAAACCCGGAAAAGATAAACTCGACACATGCCTTTCATTTTATCACGATAATGTGTGACCCATCCACCATGAGTATAAATACACGGGATTCTGCATGGTGAAAAGTTCCTACAAGTAAGGATTCGTCCATTCTTAAATCAATTTTCACCTCCAAGTCTGGCTCACTTCTCACAGAAAAAACTATTAAGTATTAAATGACATTGCTCCACACGTTGACTTCTAAAAAAGGACGCAACTTACCCCAATAAAGGATCACCGAATATTTATCATAGATCATTGTACAAAAGGTAAAACTCCATTACTCCCAATAGAAGGACGGATGTACCTTTCACCTCGTGAAAGTCGAGAGGTTTTGCTTCTCTACTCATCCAATAATACTATATAATCACTGTATATCTTCTCCAGAAAAAAAAACTCAATACAAGCTTATTCAGGCATTATACACAAAAGATATACTACTAAGTCTAATCGTCATATTTGCTTCACTCTATATGCTAACTTAATCATTGAAAGATCCTCTAAAATGCGAAAAAACTTTATTTTGTAAGTACCTATCAAGACTTCAACAAAAGGATTCACCACATTGCATGATCGGCCAACACTATAAAAAAAATAGCATAATAGCAACGAATTTTTTTGTTGTTGAAACCATTTATTTCATCGTTATTATACTTTAGTGGCGGAATAGCAAGAAATAAATTCGTTCAAAAATTGCTTGTCGCTAATAAATTTAGTGACAAATTATAACTGTCATCTCTAATTTAGTGACGGAAAAGGGCTATAGAGTAGTTTGTCCGTAGCAAAGGTAATGATATTAGCAACGAACATTTTGTCACCAAAAGGACTTCCACTTGTCTCTAGAGTGATGGCAAATAAACAACATAAATTTTTCATCGCCAAAATTTTCGTCATTAACCCGTCTCTATTTGGTTGGTAATATATCGACAATTTTTGTAGTTATCCATCTATAGTTGATGTAATTTAATTATTTTTTTTGTCATTGTTTTGTTGCTAATTAAGGAAATGTATGTATATATTTTTTAATTTGTTATTGGTGGTTTCATATTTAATTGTAGTAGGAAACAATTAAAAATAAAATTATTTTATTCAATATTATTGAATAAAATAAAAATAATATAAAATCAAATCAAGCATGTATACGGATCCATTCTAGTGTATGAAAATAATCAAATGAAATATGTAAAATTATAGCTAGTTTGATGAGGGGTTTCTCATCATCATCCAATGACTGCTAGGCGAGAGGGAGGGCTAGGAGGAGGGAATGACGAGTCCGCAATATTTGTGACCTAAGAACCTCCTTAAATATAACTATACTATAAAGATATTTTATTTAATTAATAAAATTATGTTTACTAAATGTGAGGAATAAAGTTTAAACTTTAGTTAAGAATGAAACAAACACAAGTAGGACTAAAGGGGTAGATTAATGGAATGAGTAAGATTTGAATTAGAGATTGATACCCTTAATTGATATGGTTATGTTTTGACGTAGGGACATAATTGCAAAACTTAGAGGCATAATCGTAAAAACTAAAAATTTAAGTACTTAATTAAAATGATCAAGCAACTTTAGAGACTTAAATAGAAAAGGTCTAGGATAAGGGCCAAATTGAGAAAAATTGTGAAGTTACATACCGAAATTAGAGGGGCCAATTGCAAAGATTTTAAGCTTAGAGACTAAAGTGTAAAGTGTTAATCTTTTGAGTGACTTATTAATTGATTATAAGGGAAAAATTTTAGCTAGAGAATTTGGAAAATTTGACGAGAAAAGGAGAAGAAGAGATGGAGCAAAACAAGAAACAACAAGAGAAAATATCTAAGGAAAAAGAGAAAGAAAAGATAAGGAGGAAGAAGAAAATCTAGAAGCCATTAATAACCAATCTTAAGATTAAACTAAATGTGACATACTTGGCTTAATCCTAAGGGAGAACCATGGCTATAAAGGAGGAGGAGGAGGAGGAGGAAGATGTAATAAGGGTTACAAACTAGAAGTGTTCAAGTAATCCTAAAGGAGGAACTACGCCAACCAAGAAGAAAACTATCTAACCACCACTCCAAACCACCTTGGTTAGCCTAAAAACATCCTAAAACAACCTTAAAATCATATTAAAAGATAAAAAAAAAAAAAAGGGAAGAAAAGTCATTATTTTGGCCAAAACTTTTGGAAGAAAGGAGAAAAAACCATAGAGGAAAAAAGGAGTAATTGCCAAGCTTCAAGTGAAGTAAGTGTAATCCTCACTACACCATAAGAAAGTATTATTTTGATGTATATTTGATGATAAATTGAAGTTATATTGCTTGGGTTTAATGATTTAATGGCTTAATTATTGTTGAAACTATGTAGTTGTTTGTTATTGGTGGTTATATTATTGTATATGTAATTATGTGGTTTAAACTATGATGATTTGATGTTTAATTGGATTAAATGATTGATTTTGGAGGTTTTCCTTATTATTAGAACAAGGTGATTGGGTATCCTTGAACTTGAATAAATTAGTGATTTTAAAACCTAATGTTTGCAAGGTGTTTGATGAAATGCTTTAAAGATGTTTATGGTTCTTAATTGAAAACATTGAAACTTGGTCACTTTTTTATGAATTTCGGCCAAGTAAGAAGATTTATATTGAATGTAAACTTAACCTATGTGATGTTCAAATGATGATTAACATGTTATTTCAAGAGTTTAGAGGTGAAAATTTGAGGTAAAAAGAAGAAATATAAGTTGTCCTTCCATTGGCCAATTTTGGCCAAGAATGAGAAATCAAGGGCAAAAGAGCTTTATTTGAGGTTACTATAATTTTGAGGTTTAGAGGTATAAAATGACATGAAAAGTGATTGTAATCATGTGAAAAATGGATGAATTATATTGCTTAAACATCCGACCAAAATGTGTATTTATGGCATGAATTGTGCTTATTGTTGTTCATGTTTGCATGTATGCATACTTGTTTTACATGGAACGTGTACTTGATGTTTGATTATATTACATGTTCTTAAGGATTTGAAATTATGCATGTTGAGGTTTATGTTAAATGCATTACATTTTATTTAAATACATTTGCACATCATAATCATGAAAGAGGTTTTACATTCATGATTTTGATGAAAGGAAAAGGAAAAAGAAAAGGAAAGGTTTTCAAAAAGGGATGGCTTGGTACCTTCTTGAGGTTATAGGAGAGGAATGATCACCCTCTCTTGAGAAAAAAAGGCATGCTTAGCGTGTTGAGGTTATGGGAAGGTACCTAGTGCTTTTTGTGAATTTTTCATAATTACTTGTTTTAAAAGATGATCGATTATATACACAATTGGCAAGATA